AGGCCAAAATTCTGAAGGGTGGGTTAATTTTCTATGTAATTATCTCTTTGAAGAGTTGAATTCTTGGCAAGTTCAACCAAAATCACCTGGACATTTGGAAGCTTAGCCCTTGAAAGAATAGTCAGAATCATGGCATCACGGGTAGGGATGTGAAAAAAAAAATACGTGGGGAAGGTTTCTTCAAAAATACAATGAGTACAAGTGCAGCACATCCCCTTTCTGTAATTTCCTAGGTCATCCCCAGGTAAGACCCTTCCAATGCGCATTCAAGTTTCAGGGCCCCACTCGAGTTGCAGCCCTACCCTGTTGTATATCCTCTGCTCCTCCACCATGTTCCACCGTGTTCCTGCTGCAGTAGCAATGCTAGCAACAGCAATATGAGTTATCACTTTTTTCTTTGAATAACATGCTAAATGTTGCTGTAACTCCTCACAGGCTGAGCACCTATTACAGTTTCTGCTTAAGAATCCAGTTGGAGTAGCAAAGGTACTCATTTAGTGACCAATATCGGCAGAGTTGCCCCAGGGATGAGTTCAATTCTTATTTTCCACAACATTAGTTGTCTCTAGTTGAGGAGCAAGATTTCTAATTATCTAAAGCACAAAGCAATGGAAGATTATTTTTTTCCATATGTGCATAGCTATACATCATAGATATATTCATATATAGTAATACACCACAGGGTGGTCATGCAAAGCTTCTTCTGCGTTACCCTAGGCTGTTAAATATACATAGGCAGTAGCAGAAAGTTTTAAATGTAAGCTTTAGAAACAGTTTTGCTTGGTTAGTTGGATTTATATGGGATGGATGATATGGAAACTAGGTTTTCTGTTAAAATGCTATGTGATAATTGTGGATTAATTCTGTTCACACAAGTGTGGAAAAGCAGTCTGTCTTTGAGAGGTTAACCAAATAAATACTTGCTATAGCAAACCCAAAATATGTATCAATGAAAAACATTGAGCTCTTTCTGTCTTGAATGAGTTAATGAACCCACCATCCAAAACCCGGTAACTGTTTATTTCCTATAGCACTCTGTTTTTTCTAAGCAGTTTCTCAAAGTGTTTTCTTATCAGTTTTCCAGAAGTCGTCATTGTAAGGCCATGGTTCAGCGGAATACGGGTGCAAGTGCTGTACACAGGTGCCCTTACTTTCTCTCTCTCTCATCCTCATGGCCAGAACATTTCACTTGTAAGAAATGCTTAGAGCTACAGTACTAACTTGCCAGGTTGTGCTGGTTTTACTTAGTGTACAGGATCTTTCCTGCATCTTTACTCATAGCCTTGGCTGGACTCTCCTTTCTCTAGGAATCGACAACCCATAGTCAGGTCTATCCTTAGCTGACTTTGAAGATTGGCAGCTGCTGGCCAAACAGGACACCTTTTCTCCTCGTTTAGGGTGTCCAGCTATCCTTAACTTCACCACACACGCTATCCATCCTCTTGTGTGGGAGCCTCCTACAGCAGCATCCTAGAGAGGTGGCTTTTCTGATCTGTGGCTGTTGGATCTGAGGGGATGACTTTGGTGAGATCTTACTATGGAGAAGTCCTACAAGTTTATTTCAGGGAGGGTAAAAACCTTTGTTATGCAGACATGTAACAAGGTTACTGTCTCAGAATAAAGAATTTATGAGAGAAGAAAATCTTTTAAATATTTTCCTTTGGAGCCACCCTTAAGGACTCTTAAGGCAAAGAGACAGGATTCCATTACTTATGTGGAAAACTCCTCCACTCCTCTAATATTTTTGCATTATTTTTATAGTGGTTTTCCCAACAGGTTAAAAACTCAAAAATATTTGTCTTTGTCCCCTCCCTGCTTCATACTATGGATGCCTGTTTCTTGTTTGTTCTACTTGGAAAGTTTGTGAAGCAGTTGTATTACAGAGCTTTAAATGATATTTTTCCATGAGAGAAATGTATTTTTCCTGGAAAGTTTCTGAGAGTCACATTTTAAAGAGAAGAAATTACAAAACTGAATTAGTGCATAAATCAGAGAAAATATTTATTTACAGACATGTAAAAATTATGTTACAACATTTTAAAGAAAACTGTAATGAACCATCAATCTGCTCTACATGGGCAAACCCTGAATGTATTAATTCTAACTTGCAGTGGCACCTATTAAAAATACGACTGCTTACAAGATTGTATATATCTACATATTTTAAGTACAATGATTTTTCAGAACTAAAAATGGATCTACAGAGAAAACTAATAAGAACCGCAACAACATGTAATACAAGAGTTTACAAAAGTAAAAATATTTTTTCTTGATCCAAACTTTAAAGCTTTTTAGTAAATATTTTCCATTCATGCAGCTGCACAGGTTTGAAACAAATATCTGAAATACACAGAGTATATAGGTCTGTGTAGAAAATGAATTGGTTTAATTCAGGACTGACCATAAGGGATTTTATAAGACTGTTGACTGTCCAAACCAACTGACAAGATCCTTTATGTTTCCTATTCTTCCATATCGCAAGGGATGAGCAATGTTAAAAAAACCCACAACTGACAAAAGCCATGTAAAACAAGTATAGGTAGTGATGGCAAACAACACTGAGCATACCACAATACATGAAAAGTAGGGAACTATCAAGCTCTGTTGAAGCTACCAGCATCCTCTGTAGTGATTGAAGCAAACACGCCATTAAGAAACCTTGCTAGTAATCGACTGCACAACACAACAAGCTTCTGGCTTGCAAACGAAGTAGTGCCTCATGGTGTCATCAGAGGTGTCTTTGTGTTCAAAATATTCAGGACTTAAACTGTGGTGTGAAACAGTGTCGACATTATGATGGTGCAATCATTTCTGTGAATATATAATCTAAGGGTAATGATTGGAAAGAATTTGTAAAAATCTAATAGAGTTCTTTCTGTGGTTATTAGCTCGTTTGGAATGGAGATGGTGAAGAGATGATACACCCAGCTATTTCTTTTACGTAGTTTATTAACACCAAGATCAGAACTGATGTCCTTGGATGACATTCTACATCTTTTAAATCAGCCAACATTTTAAATAATTGAAATGGGCAAAACACCTGATTAGCTGCTCAGGTTTGGAGTTCTTTTTTTTAACTGTCAGCCAAAGATGGGGATCTCAAAATGGCAATTTTTTTTTTGCATTTTTTACAGTTAAAAATTATCGTAACCTATACTAATAGATAGTGGAGAAATATTTCACCCTTTGATTTGACCTAACATTTCACTTACACAGAAGTAATATTTTTTGCTGCACTTTTCTGGGGTAGTCAGCCTTGGTGGTTTCTGAAGCTGCGATTCTTTATGCTCAGGCGTTAACTACTTATATTATTCTTTCCTTAATTAAGTAGCTAGGTACTACTCAGCACTTAGGTAAACCATGTAACTCCACAGACAATAGACAAGCTAAATATAAGATACAGAAACATAACTGAGAGTGCTATGTTACATAGTCTCCTAGTGAAGTAAATTCCCACTTGGTAATAGATAATTAAATTCAAATGTATGTTCTTCTTCCAAACGTTTGAAGAATATCAGTCCTTCTTTTATGACAGTCCCCATGCTGGAAACCTGACTCGAGACCTTGAGTTCCCACCTCCTCATACCCTCATTGTTTGAGGTGAACCTATTGTCTCAGAAACTGCTGTTTTTTATAGAAATCGAAAGTTTCATCTATTAAAGAATATATCTTTATTTTTCTCTTGCTTTCAGCCTGCAGAGAACGATTGAAATGGCAAGGCAAGGGTTCATCTTTGTGGTGCTGGATGATACCCAGTACCCCTGGCCACAGGTATCAGTGGATGTCAGGACTCTGTGTCTGCAAACTGGCACACGACTGGGTCTGAGCTCCATTTCACTGTGTAAGGTACTTCTTCAGTTAATGTCTCTCCCTCTTGGAAGGCCATAGCTATTAAATAATTTTCCCCCCTGCAACCACTTTAAAGACATGCCTCTTTCTGTAGCAGTATATCTCACTTCGGGATGTGGATAAATAAATAACTATTCCTTGTTTCATGTCGTCTCCAGTGCTAAGGAGGCCTAGCTTTGGGATGGTGAACAAGTTGGTATTTCCATTAGAGAAGGCGTTGTGCCTATATCATATATGCTTTGGTACCCTTAATATCTCAGTAACACAAGAGAAACAATGCATCCATTCTGTTTGAAATGAAATACAATTTATTAAGAAATTCTATACTGAGATTCCCCCTACAACATCTGTATTAATTAATTATTCCAGCTGCAGGCTTTTAGGAGGGCTTTAGAGGTTCAGGAGTGGAAAGACTACTGCCAGAAAATAAACCAAAAAGTAATCAGTAGGCTAACTTAGTTGTCAGATATTGTCAGTCTACAAGTTATTTACCTGGCTAGACAGGAGACTGACTGTCATGTAAACTTTCCATATGGTAGCAACAAACAGCCTTTAGAAACTTGCAGGAACAGCTGTAACAACTGTCTAGTGAATGGCATCACAGAGAGTGCTTATCTGAAGATAGGGGTATACAGGAGGATCCAATTTACATTTTATTTTTCTCTCTTATTTCAGTATTTTCACTTTTTAGTAGCTATCCCTATTAGTAAACATAATTATTTCCAATGACAAATGTAATAAATAAAATAATGGAAAATACCATACAATGTATTTAATTGTGATCTTGCTTGAATTAAGCTGTAAACAAAGAAGTGCAATATCACCTGACTTTAAGTATGGTAAAACAGTAAAACATGCTAATCATAAAAATAGCTTTTAGAAATATACATTTGTATACAGTGTTTCCCACATCTGTTAAATATGTCCTTCATATTATTATGATACAGTACATTGGCCTTTAAGACATCAAAATTAAAAAAATAATACCAATAATTAGCCAGAGAAAAACACATTTACAATCTAAACCATAAAAATCTGACAATTGTACAGCTTAGAACATATAAGAAATGGAATTTCTGATATTTGAACAATAATGTCCATTTTAATAAGTAAATTGAGTTTTCATATAAATTGAATCAAAGGTGTTGCTAGCCAGTAAGAAACTGCAGTTCACAATTTTCTGTGGGGTAGTCAGGATTTCTCTTCTCAGCCTTCAGGGGGTTCACACATGACATCTCATCACTTGATCTGTAGAAACTGAGAAATTAAATGTTCACTTTAGTATGCAGGCATAGAATTTCCTCCAGCAGAACCTCGAAAGGAAGCCAAGACAACTGGGGAAAAGAGGGAAGAGGACTATGTCTTGACTTTTTCATGAATCAATCAAATATCAGTATCTATCAGACTTTCCCACCTTAAACCTTTGAGGGCTAAAAGTTGTGTACCTGCAGCAGTGGACAGTCAGGACTGTGCAAGAGTCCTAAGACTGCATGGCCCAAAACAACTACAGTGAATCAAGCAAGAGCTGTTGAGGATGAAATATACTTCCCCTCAATAATGCTGTGTGAACAACTGCTGAATAATTTCTATTTTACCAGCAGAAAATACATCTCTTAGCTCCTTTGCAATGAAATGCTTTATTTGCCTAACAGCATCCAATCTAAATAAACTGTGTATAGGATTCTTTGCTTCAGTCCCATTGCACTATTTCTATACCTTACTCTGGACCATTTACACTGACTGTGTGCTTTCAACAATGCTTATAGCTACCAGATTGATGGATCTTTCCTCAGTGGCTTCCCTTTTGATGTTGCCTATTTTATTACTGTTCTTGTGTACATGCCATAGGCTTTAATTGCATATCCTTTGATTTCTTTCTTTTTTTTACCAGCCACAGTGTGAAACAGCAAAAATTCAATGTCAGCCAACACTTCTGAGGGTCATTCTTCCAGCAAAAGCTGGAGGCAGGTTGCATCTAAAAACCTGAGAGTCCTGCTATTCAATCCATTAATGCTACCAGCTTCAACTAGGCATTCAATGGTGCTGCAGGAGAGCACAAGATGTACCAGCTCCACCTACCCACAGAAGAACTGCCAACACTTTCCCAGTCACATCTGTTTGGAAAACTGACAGTAGAAAATGTTAACATAAGTAGATGGTTTCTTTTTTTAAGTGAAATTTTCAACCTAAGGTTTTTTTTTTTTTTTACTTTTGACAGGAAAAATATCTTTCAGCCAATTTCTTCACTTTTCACTTTTTTTTTTTTTTTTTGGTTGTATTATTTTCTAGAACTGAAACTGAAAACAGCTGACAAAACCTGGTGTCTTTCTGATCAAAACCTGAAAAATTTCCAGATGTTCTTTTCAGCTGATTTTTCACTCCGGTGAGTTTTAAGTCTGCCTTTTTCCCCCCAAAAAAGGGATGATTCCTGTTAAAATTTCCATTTATTGAAAAACTGGTTTTCCAATGAAAACAGTTCTATCAGAAACATCAGAGTCCCTGCTGGACTGGCCTCCTGCCCTTTGAAGCAGTCAGCCATCAGATTTCCCCCTTGTTGCAACGGGAACACCAGATTTCTGGCTGTACTCTTCACAGGTAACTAGGACTAAGGAGAAAAGCTCATGTACGAGATCCCAGAACTTTCTTCTTTCAGTTAAAATATCCTGAAACTATTATTCTCTACTTGCATAGAGAAAAATCTTCATCTCCCCTATTTTTAGCTCCTGATTTCTGGACAGACTTAACTGCATGAAAAAGATTTTTAAATTCTCCCCTTAAGTCTGAGAGAGGCCTAATGGTTGTTAAGTAGCTAATCATCTTACAAGACGTAAAAAAAAATCCCACTGTACATCCTATTAGCTCCAGAGAGAGTTCCTCTTTTCTAACCTTTTCTTCACTTATGCGTTGCTGTTCTACTATACCATTATAAAAAGCAATAATTATGCAAGTAAGAAGAGAGACAGATTTTCAAGTTATTTATTGAAGCTTTTTCCCTGCCATAAACCTTTCAAGCATTTACCTGTCACCAGCACTAAAAAGCTTCATTAGGTTACTATTATGAAGCATTACTGCTAACCATCTGGATCCGAGTCATCAATGCTGCTTTGCTGTCATTTAAAAACAATGATAAAAATTTACCAACCCCACCAGCCCAAAATCTTGTGTTCTTCCTTCAGTACATGGGCTTGTTATTTGTCTCTTAAGGCAAATAATTTTAAAGGCTGGGAAGAAACTTTAAAATCTGAAATAGTCAAGGTTTTATTTTCCATAGAATGACAGTAACCCAGGGCTATGACTGATCTAGTATAATGCAATACTAATTTTATTCTATTTCTTTGTGCTGAATACTGTGCAATTTATCAGCTGGCTTTATGGTAGTGCTGATGATATTAAAAAACCTCATGATGACTAATGTTTTTTTTAATCTTTTCATTTCTTTCCCGTTACATGTATAAAAATCATCCTGACACAACAAGGATGAACTGAATTACATTTAAGCAGCAATATGGCTTTCATTTGATGTAGTTCTAACAGAAAACCACTTTAGAAAGTGTGATTTGAACATAATGCATTTTAAGAATCGAATAACCCAACTGAGTATATAGCCTTGGCAGCCGTAGACAATATCAAAGAAACAGTATATACTGTCCTAATTGCCATCATAATCTCTGAAAAAAGCTGGAGATAGGTTATGGAATATTTATTGGTTCATTTTCCACCTGAAATTATTTCTGCTGTTTTTTTTTCCCTATCTTGGTGGCTTTTTGAGCATGAGCTATTGGAAACTTAGTCTTCTTAGGGATAACACTGTATTTCAGTCTTCCAGAAATGCTATTGCTACTGTTATTATAGTTCCAGTATGATCGTGCTAGCATTTTTACCAGACTCAAATTATACTAGATTCAATTAATTTTGACTTTACACTATTACAATGTATATAACATTGGAAAGCCAACATTAAATATTAAACACCTCACTAAATGAAAGTGCAGTTCTACTTAATGGGCCCCAAACTATAATCGCTAAAAATGATGGAGTAAGTCAGTTAAAATCCAGTAAAAATCTAGAGAGTTTTCCATCTTGTCTTTTATAGGTTTAATGGTTTTATCACTTACCTCCCCTCAAAGCCTAGAAAATGCCAGTCTTTACATCTGTAGATCTTTAAGAATGCTCTGCATGTAAAGAACTTTTTTGTTTGTTGGGGAGAGCTTGGCCATCAGATCTCCTGCCAGGAGACCATTTCCTCTAAGCTCCGTGCTTCATAGTCACCAAGCACGACACTATAGGAATGGTTTGCACTCTGTATTTCTCCTGAAAGCCTTTTATGAGAAGGCAAGCTCAACATAGGGTAAAGACCTTCAGACACCATTTGTTTAGAATGAGATGGGCCACCCCATCTCCGCAGCCTCCCTAAGCAGCTGGAAGCTGTAACAGAGACCATTGCTTCTGTGGCAGGGGGGGATGCTGCTGTCTTCTAAGAACAAGTTTTCTAAACTTGTTCAGGCGGACTTTATTTGTCTGTGGGAGGCGTGAGTTTCGATGTCTGCTAGCTGTATCCAAACAGAGCTCAGCTTATTCCCTGCTCTGATTTATTTGTTCTTCCTTATAGTTCTCAGAACTATAAGGAAGAACAAATGGAATTGTTCCTTGTTCCCCGTAAATACATAGTTTTCTTCTCACGGGGTTTATAGGAAAAGTGTGCAGGGCTTTCTTTACCATGCTCATCTTCCAGACCTAGATGTACAGGAATAAGACCTACTATCTGGGAGCGTAAGTTCAGCATATGTCCTTGGGAGGCAATATTAGGAATGCATATTGGCTAAATGACACAAAAGATGTACATGATTAATGTCTTCCCTTGTAGTTTGTAGAAATGTCCCACAGAATATGGACGTTATAGAATTTACTGTATGGGTTATCCCACAATAATTGTATGCAATAAGAGCATCCAACAAGTTTATGCAAGATGTATGTCTGACAAAATGCATCTGTTTTTAAGCAATTGGCTATACTGAATGGCTTTCATGAGAACATTAATCTTAGAAATTCCCAGAAAATGCAGCTAAACGGTGGATGGATAGATGATGGTGCCATACACACAAGAGCTTGAAACCCAAAGCTTCAAATATCCTTCCTCTTGCTCTCCTGCCTCTTTTCCCTTGCCAGTCAAACTGATTCTCAGGACTGGACTTCTGTATTTAACAGCTGTAAGGGAGGCATCTGAAGCTAATTCTGACCACTGCTTGGTTTCAGGTAAAATCTCATGTCTATCTCTGTTCAGGCTTCTGTTGAGTTGGAGACTTGATGCCTGACACCCTCCCATGCTTTTGCTGGTGTCTGACTAGGCTTTGGCAGTGGGTTATGTGACTGCCATACATCACTTCCCGCAAAACAGCTGCAAGCCCCATTAAAGTGCAGCTGCTGCTCTGTCCTTCCATTCACCACACTGGCCCTCATATTCGCTCTACCTCCAACTGCAGTCATAGCATGATTGCTTTGATTGCATCTGATGCTGACTCCTATACTGTTATCTGTACATCTGAGAATACTGAATTCAGGTCCACAGATGTCACTATTATGTACTTTAGGATGGCACGCTCTGTTTCATCTCTAATAATTTTTTCTGATTATGGAATGTACTTTCTGGACAGATAAGGAGGTGTAAGACTGAATCTGTTTGCAGAACAGACTTGAAAAAACCCAAACACTAAACTCTTGGCTAGCCATTATCGATCCAGATTATTTGCCTAAAATAAGAAAGATCAGGATGCATTACAGAAAGCAGTAGTGCAAATTGCCATTCTGTTTATTTGCTGTGTCTAACTCACAACAACATCCTTCTTTCTCTTAAGCAGGCAGCTCACACTGAGTGCAAACCCCAGTAATTTACCAATGGGGGCTTGCACCTCTAAGGGCTTTTACGCAGCATTCATCATCATGAGTGGAAATCCACCAGCAATGAACAGGGCTCACCAAGGAACCTTGAATTTATATTAGCTATCACATTGACTCCACATCTGTGTTCATTTGAAATACATCTTGTGCTTTGTCCCTTGATTTAAAGCATGAAATCTCTGATTAAGTAACACAGTTATATAGGTGATTTAGTATAATGACCCCATATGAAATGTAAACGCTCAGTTCCATAGGTGTTAGCAGGGGAATGGGAATATGTATGACGGGTTTTCTGCTGTCATTTGTAACGCTATGCAAAACATGACAGACAAAAATTACGGCACTAAAGAAAAACTTTTTAT